TTTGTTTCTTTCTTTCTTTCTCTCTTTCTTTCTTTCTTTCTCTCTCTCTCTCTCTGTCTCTCTCTCTCTCTCTCTCTTTCTTTCTTTATTTCTTTTTCTCTTTCTTTCTTTCTTCTTTCTTTCATGCAGAAGGGGAGATTTGGGAAGGGAAGCTGTTGTACAGAGCTCTTTGAGAAACAAAGAGCACTTCTCCCCCAAAGCAGCAGGGAGATAACATTGTTTTGCAGAAAACTTGAAGATTTTGTAACTGCTTAATGCCCCCTCCAAAAGTGTTCCTAGCCTATGTTTTGTGTAAGATTTTGACCAGTGGCTTTCAGACGTTTTTCTATTTTTACTGCAAGACAGAATAATAAGCTCACTTTACATTGTGACCTAGAACACACATACAGCAGCAACACAATGAACATTTACCAGGCTGTATGTGATTCACTCTGATATTTTCTGTGCTTNATTTTTCTATTTTTACTGCAATCCAGAATAATAAGCTCACTTTACATTGTGACCTAGAACACACACACACACACACACAGCAGCAACACAATGAACATTTACCAGGCTGTATGTGATTCACTCTGATATTTTCTGTGCTTGTCTATCATTTAAAAAGATGTGGATTTGTGGGGGATTTAGCTTGCTAAATTGATCTCAACAATAGTTTGTGTTTAATCTTCCTTAGAGTGTTCTTTGGAGCAAATCAAAGGAGCTGGCAAAAAGATACACCAGTGCCCACCCAGGGTTGATTTTAGTGGGAGACACGCTGGTGGGCTACCTTGCTGATAACCTCACCTGGTGCGGAGACGCAGGCTCCTCTGGTGAGGATCGGGGCCACGTGGGATCGTCTAGGGATGTGTGTGTGGGGTGAGAGCCCTGAGCTCTGCTAGGGGCCCTGAAAGATCGAGGTGGGGGACGGAGCCCCAGGGCCCACCCTGATGCCATCTATGCCCCAAATGACAGCTCAGCCTGATGGACAGTGGTGTTCTTTAGACCAGCTGGTGTGTTCATCCCTCCTTTCCTACCCCTGTCACCACCCCCCGAGTCCAGCACACTAACGTAGTGCTTGCTGGGACAGTTCTAACACTCTTACTGCCCACTCCTCAGCCCTGTAGGTCAGCTTCCATGGCCACCACCGTGGGCTTGTCTCTAACCAAAAACCTAAATTCCACAGCTATCTTTTGCCTCTGAGATAAGGCCCCAATTCCTTAGCATGGCCGGGCCCTGTCTCTCAGATGCCTCAGCTTCCAGCATTCCTGTTCTCCTGCCTTCTGCTCTGGTGGTACTAGTCTAAGCCCACGAGGCTGCTTCTCACCTGCCTTTGCACATGTTCTCTGCACGGAATACCTCCCTCTCCCTCCTCTGTCTGAAGACTCTTACTCATCCTGCAAAATCAAGTTCAACATCAGCCTTCCCCAATGGTGCTGCACACCACCTCCCACCCAGGTTGACCTTTCTGTGATTTATTCCATTATGCTGGATGAAGTGGTCTCTGGAGGCAGGGCTTCTGTCTAATTCATCCCTCTATCCCCGGGACTTAACTCTCCAGTGTCTGTGCCATCAAAGGCAGTGGGTAAAGAAAACGTGGCATATGTATTTCTATAAAACGGCCCATTATTCAGCCTCAAGCAGGGAAATCTGTCCATTTTCAACAGTGCAGATGAATCTGGAGGGCATTGCGCTAAGTGAAATAAGCCAGACAGAGAAAGATGAATGCTGCATGGTGTCACTTTATATGTGTGGAATCTAAAACAAGAAATTAAAAACAGGAACTCATAGAAACAGAGTAGAGAAGTGGTAGCCAGGGGCAAGGAGTGGGGTAGTATGGACAGGCTGGTAAAAAGGGACAAACTTCCACTTCTAAGACGAGGAAGGTCCAAGAATATAGTGTAGAGCATGGTGACAATCGTTGGTAACACTGTAGAAGCGTAACTGAAATTTTCCAAGAGAGGAGGGCCTATGTTCTCTCACAGACACACCTGCNATATGGACAGGCTGGTAAAAGGGGACAAACTTCCACTTCTAAGATGAGGAACGTCCGAGGATCTAGTGTAGAGCATGGTGACGATCGTTGGTAACACTGTAGAAGGGTAATTGAAATTTTCCAAGAGAGGAGGGCCTATGTTCTCTCACAGACACACCTGCAAAGATAAATATGGGAGTTGATGGCTGTGTTAACTCCACATGGGGAAATCTCTGCCCAGTGTACAGATGTGTATCAAATCATCACATTGTACACTTTAAATATTTTACAGTCTTATTTGTCAATTCTGTGTCAGAAATAACTAAAAAGTGTTTANTGCAGTGTACAGATGTGTATCAAATCATCACATTGTACACTTTAAATATCTTACAGTCTTATTTGTCAATTTTATGTCAGAAATAACTAAAAAGTGTTTATGCATTAAGGCAGGTATCCTCGGGAGAAGAGACATAGGAACTGAATTCATCCCTGAGTTTGGTGCCTGAGTTTGGTTCGAGGCCTGAGCTTTCTCAATGGGGACAGTGTAGAAAGTCCAGGCTGTCTGAGCCTAGGGTGTGGGCCTAGCATGTGGGGGCAGAGAGCTGTCAAAGGAGAGAGTCAGCAGGAGGCAGAGGAGTGGTCAGGGAGAATGGCCCAAGGCCCACTTCTATCTGTGATTTCCCTGCACTCTGGGATGATGTTGGGAGCTTGCCTGTCAGACGAGCTTTCTGCAGTTTCCCAGAATGCAGACTCAAAGCTGGTCACTGTGTTCCTGTCTGGGATTTGGAGCGGAAGGTAAGGACTCGGATGGGAGTCAGGGGCATGCAGTTAAATTGGGTCCATTCTCCACCCTCCACCTCGGCAGAGCCCCTTGGATAGTGGCTTTGCTTTGACTCCACAGCCAGGGAGGGACGGAGCTTAATGACACCTTGACTTTCCACTGCAATTATTTTCTTCAAACTCTGTTTTTCAGAAATTAACTATAAGTCTTGCAAAAAGAGAGGGAAAGACTGTGTAAACAACACTGTGTTTGAATTCTGGAAAGCTGCATCCAAGAGGGTAGGTACCAAAAGCGAAATTCTAGAATTGGGGAGGCCATGGAATGAAGAGGTCATCTAGACAGTGGTTGGTTTGAATCCTTTTGGGATGAAACATCCTTTTAGAAACAGAAGTTTGGGATTCCTTCCTGAGGAAAAGGTTCCTGAGTACATTCTAGATTTTCACAGATAATTTTAGGGCTTGCGTGGAGGGCTCGTGGGCCCCATGGAAGAGTCCTTGCTCTTGCCCATTGTTTGGGCTTCGGCTGCCAGGAATCTCCTGCTCGGTTTAATCCTCTGGCCCAGGTATTGGCCAGTCCTAGGTTCCTGGAACAGTCTTAATAATCCGCAACTGCAGGCCACGCCCTGGGTGCCAGGCGCGGTCCTTGGGCTTCACCTGGATTAAAACCTTTCATCCTCACACGAACCCTCTGAAGTAGGAACCATGAGCATCACACCAATTTAAGATGCCCAAATAGTAGGAAAGCCTCTGCTGAAGGTCCACGGTGAGGGGCAGGTCTGGGAGTTAATCCCACTGTCTCACTCCAGGTCTGGAATCGGGGCTGGGAAACAGTCACCATCTTCCCCGGCCCCTTCTCTCTATATTTCTCACTTCGCGCTGAGCTGCCTTTGTGCATATTTCTTTTTCGTGTAAGTCACTCCTTCTCACGCAAGTGGACTAGGGAGAAAAGGGAAAGAAAGGAAGGAAGATGTGAAGGAAAGAGAAAGAGGGAGAAAGTAAAGCTACACTACTTGTAATTCTCCAAAATTCAATTCAGACACTGAGGAGCTGGGGCCAGTGGAAACTCACATCTGTTAGGTGCCTATTTGTGACAAGCCCTGGGCCAGGTGCCTACCTATGTCACCCCATGTAATCCTCACAGTGGGTGCTGAGGGAAGGTTCTGGTGAGGAAATGAAGACTCGGAGGTTAAGGGACTCATCCAAGGTCAACGGGCTGGTTAGGAGACAGAGCCCAACCCACTGTAAGGAGATTCAGGTAAACCCTGGTAGAGAAAGGAGGTAGCCTGGGATTTGAAGCAGGAAGACTGTTTCTACTTGGAAAGATCCTCTACCACCGGTCTGACCTTCAATTGAGGATAAAACTCAGGCCTGTCTCAGGTTACCACAATGTTGAAACAAGATACCGCTATCCCGCTCACGAAGAATGCATTCTTTTAACAAATATTTGTTGAGTACCCACTATGTGCTGTGAAAAATCAGAGGCACCTTACAGGCTTTCGTTGTTTGTTTTTTGAGAAGGGTTTCTTGCTTTTTCTGAGAACAGTGTCTATTTGGTCCCTCTATGATGTGTTTTGGGGCAGTGCTGTTGCTAAAAACTTGTAAAGCCAAGTCTCATGTTATAACTGACAAGCACCTGTTAGTGTTCCCTGCGCTGTCCTTGGAGCTAGGAGCACAGAGGTGATGGTGACGGACGGTGCACCCTCCCACTGGGAGCTCCCTGGGTGCACCTTTATCTTGGCCAAATGCGAGCTCATGGATGTAGGTAGACAGCCTTCTTTTACCAGACTAGGTCCTTTCTTTTTCTGACAATAGAGGCAGTGCCTTTGGGGTTTGAATCCCCATCCCACTTTCTCAGTTCCATGTGACCTTGGGGTAAAGGGACCCAACACTTACTTCATGGGGCTTTGAGGATTACCTAGCATTGCGGGGTCAGTGCTTGACCCCCTGTGAGCACTCCCTTGAGTTAGCACTTGTGACTGACACTGATTGGCCTCTGCCCTCTGCCCCTCACCACAGGCAGGACAGAAGCCACAGTGGATTTTCACAATTCTGTTTCAAGTGGCTCAGGGTGTTTTATCACCTGCAGACTAAAGGCCAGCTTTCTTTTCTTTTCTTTTTTTAATATGTCTGTATTAATTTCAAAGAGAGGAAGGGAGAGGAAGAGAGAGAGACAGAAACCTCAATGATGAGAGAGTCCTTGATGAGCTGCATCCTGCAGGCCCCCTGCTGGGGATCGAACCAGGATCTCGTGGATCATAGCTGGATGTTCAACCACTGAGCCATACTGGCAGGGCAAGGCCAGGTTTCTTGGCAAAGCCTTCATGGCCCTCCATGAACAAACTTCCATGACCAGCTTCAGACTCCCCTGAAGGTGGCCCCACACACCACTCTTCTCCTACCAGGAGACCTTTCTGAATATTCATTCATTCCCCACCTCTCTTTGTCCCTGGGCAAGCCTCAGTGCCACCTGTCTCATTGTTCCCCGTTTCCTTACCCCTGGATGGTCTGGTCTGCTCCCTAAATGAAAGGCGCAATGTCTACAGTTTGTGGCACCAAGAAAGCTCCTTTATCTTCCTCCTGCAGCAATGTTCCTCTTACTCCGCTGAACTTGCGACTTCTGAGCCACCAATTTAGTGACAATGATGTTGAACTTCACTGTGCAAACACAGATCAGAGAAACCCCTGCCAGAGCTCATGTGAAGCATAATCCCTCCAGTGGTTTGGGATGAAAGTCCATAGACCTAGTAATACTGAGCTGGGAACATACTGGTTATTTTCCCCATAACCACAAATGCTAAGAGCTGTGTTGGGTGCAGCTGCTGGGGTATGCTGACTCAATCTACATGCTGAGGAATTGTGGGCTTTCTTTTCTTTTAAAGTTTGCAAGAAGTTCCTGTGGTGTGGTCCAGGCGGTGCTCAACGGGTCCCACAATAACACCTTTGATAAAAACAGGTACTGGGGCGAGGGGGAGAGAAGAGGTGGAAGAGGGGAGGGGGGGATAAGTGGTGATGGAAAAGAACGCAGTCCCTTATTTCTCTGCATTGTGTTTGCAAGGGTTAGCTCAGCCCCATAGTAGATATTTCCCCTGTAGCAAAATATGCTCCTGATGTTTAAGGTCACTCCTGAAGATTTGGGCCAAAAAAGGTAAAACTGTATTCAATGGAGAGATTTGTCCTTCTAAGTGAATGGTTTTGTCTCTTTTTCTGCTGCGCATAATCCTCTAAAGGGCCTAATGGTCCTTGTGCTGTGTGCAGCTCCCCCTCTGGACTCTGAGGCCTGGTGGAATTTCCTCAGCTCTGTCTCCCTTTACGCTCCACGCTGCCCATTTCCTTCCTTGGTTCACGCTGTTCCCCATATGACCAGCCCCCTCCCTCCCTCTGCCTCGCTAAACCCTCACCATCCACGCAGATCTGCCCCGCACCTCTGTCCTCCGTCGACACCTGAGTCCCATTCGGCACCACAACTACTAGTGGGAACATCGGGAGCTGCGCCGTGCTCTTGACTTGCCTTGTCCCCTTGCAGGCGGTGTCCGCAATCTAGCTAAAAGCGGGGCCTCCAGAGGCCGCCACGTGCTCTGTGCGGGACTGTAGGCAGGGCGCGTCACCCCTGTGAGCCTGTGGCGTGTACCTGCAGAGGTGGTGGTGAGGTGAGGATGGGCCGAGACAAGCATGAAAAAGGCCGAGCTCTGTGCCTGACAGAGGGGGCGCCCCTTGAGAACCAGCTCTTCTCTCACTGACTCCACGCCGTGGACGCCCCAATGCCTTCCTCCTCTGCTGACTCTGTACTTAGTGTTCACCACATGGGTGACCTTTCCAGTCTTTGTTCTCCAGTCTTTCCCTGGGTAAGGCTGGATAGAGAGTGGGGAGCAGTCTAGGTGCCCCCAATTAGTTCCCCTCTCTCCTGTTTTCATATTTAATTCTACGAAGAATCATTTGTCCTTTTGTCTTCTTCTTTTGACCTCAACCTTGTGGGCCTTTGGATGAAAGTGCTGACGTCTCAGAATTTTATAATCTGGTAGGAGGGTCCTGCGTACTTGCCATGGGAGTGGCAGGCGTCAGCGACATGGGGAAGAGTTGAGAGTGGGGCTAGAGCAGGACGTCAGTCTTTCAAGGCCGGGCTGCAACGTGCCTGAGCGGGTGGACCGCCTGCGGATTGCATGGCTGCAGAGCCTGGTTCAGCAGGGGTGGTGGACTGAGGTTCTGTCCTTCCAACTAGCTCCCAGGCGATGCCATTCTGTTGGTTTAAGGCCCACTCTTGGAAAACCAAGTTCTTAAAGAATCAACATCATGGTCCAGATAAGGAATCTTATCGAGAGGGCCTTACTCACTGAGGGTCACACTGAAAGGGTAAAGGTGGCTTCAGTTCCAGAGGGTGGGTTCCAACCAATGGCGACCCACCTGCTGGCTTTCCCAGGGGCTATGGGTACCTGAACCATTTCGTTTGGGGTTAACAATGTTCCTTTTCTCTTATATCTTAGCATTTTTCTAAGTGTGGAAGTCCCTAATTTGAATCCAAAGAATGTTACTTCATTTCATCTCTTCCTGACGTATGAGACTGGAGGAAATGTCAGGTATATGTTACTACTTTGTACCCATATATTCTCAGGGTTACTTTAGGAATCACTGTGCAAAAGAATCCACAGTGTTGAGAATGCTTTGAGGAAAGACTGGCTCAGGAAATGAATGAGGACTTTCTGTACATTCAGCCCATCCCCACAACCTCTCAATTTTATCTCCATGTTGGGTATCTACCTAGTTCTCACCTTCAGCTCCCCTGCTGACCTGTGAACAGTTAGAGGCAGCCTCAGCTTCACCTCCATATGCCAGGGCTTTGTGCAAGGCCTGCTACCTAGAAGAAACTGACTCAGGGAATGTTTGCAAGATCTTGTTATTTTAACACTTTCTTTGTTCTTTCCTAGTCACAAGTGCTTGGGNAGAATGCTTGCAGGATCTTGTTATTTTAACATTTTCTTCGTTCTTTCCCAGGCACAGATGCTTGAGTGACGAGGTCGATTATCTGAAATCGATTGTAAATGAGAATGGAATTCCATTTACCTGCGAGGAGATTACAGAAAATGACTTGCTCTTGAAGAAGAAATAGCCATCTTGCCATCTGTGGGCATTTTCCCTGGGGCCTGGATGGAGATCTGGGATGGTGACCTATGGTGACCTCTCTTCCTCCGCCTCCACCCCCCAGCCTCCCCCAGAAGTGTTCACAGCCAGGGACCTTCTGAAGAAAACAGGCTGCTGCTTCTGCTGTTTCTGGATCATCAGCTGACACTCATGGCCCACATCTGTGCCATGTTGGAGCCAGACATTTGTTTTCAGCATCTAACATCCCTTCTCAGTATTTATTTTTATGGCTTTACAAGTGAAATGAAACTCAGCTGGGCCCCACTTTAAGTCATTCACTCCTGGACTTGACCTTTCTCCATGTTGTCACTGCGGGAGAGGAGCTTGTCTGGATGCTAAGTGCTCAACCCATACTTTGGTTGCTAATGAAGGATCTTCTTCCCTTGATGAATTGAACGATAGATGTATTGAACTGCCTCAAGATTTCCTTTTTTGCTTTCTTGTCATAGGCCTATCCATCTTCTTCAGTGTGCAAAAACTCCTAAGCATTCGTCTTGCAGCTCTGTAATATGAGCCGTAGGCATGGTGGTTTCAGGTCTTTGAGATCTTTGTACATGATCATGCACAACTCAGAAATACCCTGGTGGAAAGCTGAAGATTTGGGGGATCTTCTGTCATCATGTCAACACCAGAGATGAAGCCTTTCCCCCAAAAGTCTTAAAATAACTTGCCCTGCTGGGTGTGGCTCAACGCAGCAGTTGAGCATTGACTTAGGATCCAGGGGATCGGGGTTGGATTCCCGGTCAGGGCACATGCCCAGCTTTTGGGCTCCATCCCCAACAGGGGGCATGCAGGAGGCAGCTGACCAATGACTCTCTCATCACTGATGTTTCTATCTCTCCCTCTCTTTGAAGTCAATAAAGATATATTTTTTAAAAATTAAAATAACTTGTGTTATAGGCATAGTTTTTATTTTTATTTTGATATATTAATATTCAAGAAAAGAATTATATAAAATTAAAATGAAAATTTTACATTGTTATTTTAATTTTCATATGATGTTTATATGTTGGCAACATCCTTTCTATTGAAGAATGACTACACCAAACCTCTCTAACTGAAACAGGCAAGTAAGGAAAGGTAGATACCCAAGCTTTTCAGAGCACTTTACATTTCCAAATGAATCGCCTTGTCTCAGGATATATTATTGTACCCTTTTTACTGATAAACTATCATGGGTTTGGGTCATAGTTATGGGTCATGTTGGCGAAAATATTCTGCAGGATGTAAGCTACCCATGTGCTTGGTTCTTTACCTCTAACCCTTCTAACAGCTCTATGAGGCTGGTATTTGTTAGAGAAGAAAATGGAAGAGAGGTTAATATAATTCACCCAAAGTCATTCATTGAGTTCGAGGTAGAGGCTGAATTTGAACTGAGCTCTGTCTGACTCCAAAGTACATGCACTTTATCTTTCTAGACCTATAATCCCAAACTGATAGTGCCTTATGCTCTCTTCAAACAAATGCATGTTGGATTAACTTGAATACAATAGAATCGAGAATGTGATTTTTCTGGATGGCTTCAAAATAGATACTTTTTCTCCATCTTCTTCCTCCCCCTCCTGCTGTTCATGCTCAGTGTCTCACATCTGTAGCAGGCAGTCAAAATAAGTATTGTTCCTGGTACTGGCAGTTCACTTTGTTCATTTCTCTTTCTTTGTCTTGGTCAGAATTATCACTTTCATTACCCTCTCAGAGAACCAACCTTTATCTTTGTTGATTTTCTCTTTCTATTTAAGTCTATGTGTTTTTTGTTCTCTTTATTATTAGATATATAGAAATTCCTTATAATTTCTTTGGATTTATAAAATCAGCTTCCTGCAATGGAAGTTTAGATTGCTGATTTTTTTAAGCTCATTTTTTTACACATATATTTAGTACTATAATTTCTCCTCTGAGTAGTGCTTTAGCTGCAGCTTTTAAGTTTTGATATCTCTCCTTTCATTATCATGTACATAAAATATATTTTCTAATTTGATTGTTACTTAGAAATGTGTTGCTTAATTTTCAAACATCTGGATATATCCCAGGTTTTTTTTTAAAACATAGATGTTTGAATGAAAAATTATCAAACTAACTTGAGACTCCTTGAGGGAACCCACTTGGTTTGTTGAAATCAGCATACATTTGGGAGTCAGGCATTTTTGGGTTCATATTTTGGCATCACTCTGTGATCTTGAATGAAACACTTAACCTCTATGAACTTAAGCGTCCTGGTCACTCAAATAAGGATTATAAATTTACCCCCCATTAAAGTGTGGTGAGAACCAAAGAAGATGACAGAAATTACAAGCCACAGTGCCTTGTAAGTAAGCGAGTACCGAACCAAGGTTGACCCCTTTCTGGTTGCCCCTGGCTGGCAATCCAGTTTCCTTTAGGAGCCCCCGTAGCTACAGCCATGGTGGTCAGGCCTTGGATTCTTCACTAGCCTCTTCTCCACCTAGGCACATCCCCGTGGGATTTACTCTTGACTGGACATGAGGCTGGGTGCTTGGGACCAGGGCTGATTAAGATTCAGACTTGCCCCAAGTTTCAGGGAACTCCACCTGCACAGCGTCTTCAGCAACAGGCCCCTGCCAATCCACTGGGTGACCTGGCTCTTTTCCCCGCAGGACAATGCCTGCCTTGTTGTTGGGCTTGCTTGCTGATTTCTAGACTCTCTGGGTGTATCTTTCTTGTTCATGAGGATGCCCCTGGAAGGAGGTGCCTGTGTCAGAAAAATGTTGTTCTTTAGTAGAAATCAGTTTGCAGGAGGCTTGTCCCAAGAAGACTCATTGGAGTGTTCAAGTCAGAGCCGGTGGAGACTAAGGGAGGCTGGTCCCGTGGTTTTTCACAGTGTGCTGCAGAGGGCCCCGGGAGCCCTGGAGGTGGCTGGGCGCTGGGGTGCTCTTCCCTCCTTGCACCACCTCTGTATCTTTATTACCATGAGGGCCCACCCCTGCCTCCTCTCTCTGTAGTTCCGAAGCGGGTATCTTTGCCATTGGCCATGCAGCCACCTGTAGCCCTGAGGCCTTTCTGACTGCATACATAAAGAGACCCTCCATATTCCTCTTCTTATCAGTGTCTCTCTGCTGGATTACTGATTGCTCATAAACCTCCTAGTTGACTCAGAAACCAGCTACCCCCTGTCTCCACACTGCGTTCTTGTTCACTCTAGAAAATCCCCTATCATCCCAAGGTCCACCCACTACCACACTTACCCAGAGGCTGTGGAAATGATCTGGCACCTAATTTCCCTTTTTTAACTCCCAAAGGCTATTTTCCTTCTGTAATAGTTCTTGACCTTATTTTTGAAGCACACTTTCAAATACAGATCTGAAATTTTAGGCTGAATACTTGAAAAGATACACACACACATGTGTATGTGCATACAGAACCTATACACACTTTCAATATACCAAACCCATGTCTCTCCATCCACAGTGATTCTGTATTCTGTGGTCATTTCTGTAGCTCTGTGTGACTGTTGGTGGGGATCTGTTTATTGCCATGTTCCTGTTTCTTATATACCTGGCAGATAAAGCTGGGCATATATCAGGCTCAGTAACTTGACGTGTAGCTGTTCCTTCTGCCTGAAATATTCTTTCCATGGATCCCAATTTGGATGGACGCGTCCACAACGTTAAATCTTTGTTCAAATGTCATCTTCTCAGGGAAGCCATTCCAGGCGTCCTTATTTACCATCATTGCACCAGCCCCACGTTCTATATCTCTTTCTTGCTATATTTTTCTTATAACCTGCGTTGCCTTCTAAAATACAATTTCCTTCTTTATAGAAACTATTTATTGTTTACCTAGAATGTGTACTCCAACTGGACATGGATTTTTGGCTATTCCCTGAAAAAATCCTTACACCTAGAATAGTGCCTGGCACCCAAAGATAGAAATAATATTTGTTGAATGAATTAATGATTGAAGTACATATCTGATCATACACGTCCCTTGTCCAAGTTTTTAAATCTGCATTTAATCCCTATTGCTCTAAGGATACAACTAAAGCTCCTTCACACATTTAAAACTGGTAGCAATTTCTTTTCTGGTTTTACCCAAGCCACCTCCCCCAGCAGCCACATTGCCATGCATTCTTATACGTGTTATAGGAGAGGAACTAGTATGATAGGTGAAAAATAAGAAATGCTGGATTTTATACATTGTGATGAAAAAAGAGAGACAAGAACACAGGCATAACATGACTAAAGAAGCAATGAGTATCATGTACATGTGTTATTCAAGTAATACGTTTCTTAATTCTTTGTAATTAAAAAAGATGCATGAATTAGACCTTTCGGAGAGAATGGGAGGGGAGGAGAGAAGAGGGGAAGATGAAGAAGAAGCTGATGGTGACGATTCTGGTAAATAGTAATGGTACGGATGTGTGGGAGGCAGCCAGACGGGCATGAGCGGGGCAAGCACAGCAGGCCAGGTGCAGAGGGCCGCCAGGGTGGAAAGCCCAACGTGCCTCGCCATGGGTAAAACTGGGACAACAAGGACCTCACCCCCAGGGTGGCCTCTCCTCCTGTAGCAGTTTCGATCCCCTGACCTTTCATATCCTTGGTCATGCAGTTTGGACCCTCCTCTGACTTTTCCTTCCCTGGCACGTTGCTAGTCATGCGGTTAGAGCCCCTTAGAGGAGGAACAAGGGGATGAAGAATGGCCTCGTGTGACTCCTATGCACCCCTTGCATGACCGGTCCCTACGGGTAACATCTAGGCCTCAGTTGTGTTTCAGGTCCAGGCCCAGAAAAGCAACAAAACTAGACAAGTGACACCACGGCTGACCTCAGGACCAGCTGCGGTGACTAATGACCCTCTGCCCTGGCACCAACCAATCACTGGAGACCAGAGCCTGAAAGGACACACCTTGATAACTGATGGGATCCTCCCCTGGGACCTCCTCTAAACTCCCCACCTTTAAAACCCCTCAAGATGAAAGACTCAGAGAATTCTCTCTCTTTCTCTTTCCTAAGCTCCAAGGGCCCTTCTCTTGCCTCTGTAGCTTGTTTCCTGAGCCCATTTCATCTACATCTCACTTCTTCTACCTCTGTGACTTTCCAAATAAACTTTATCTTATGGTTTGAGTCTTGGCTCTGAATTCTTTCTTAGCCTGAACTCAGGT